ATATAGATGGATACTGTATCTTCACCCTACTTTAATGCATCTTATTAAGTATGCAAGTTGTTTGCCTCGTTGTGACATTCTGTGAAATGTTTCAATCCAGTGTCACTGTGTTTTTTTTATTTTTTTTCTTCTAACAAGTGAAAATAGGGTAACTTGCAGAAGCTATTAAAGCTCACAGTCCACTTTGTCTTTTGATATGAAGTCAAATCAGCTTGTGGAAAAGGGAAAGAAGGGGTTACGTGGCTTGTTCTGCACAAAAGTTACAGTTTGTGTGACAGTGCACTTTGCTGGTGATTAAGAAAACCTGATCTTCAGTTCTCTGTCTCCCTCTGCAGGTCGTAAGCGGGAGTGGTTCACCGTGGAAGAAGCCATCAAAGTGCTGCAGAGCCACAAACCTGTTCATGCAGAGTACCTGCGGAGGCTCCAGCTCAGCTGCTCTCCCACCAATGGAAACTCCATCCTCCCGAGCCCCTCATCAAACGACAACTACCCCCATTACAGCGCAACACCCACCACACCCTCGACGGGCAGCGTGTTGGGCTCCTCTTGCAGATAGGACTGCAACTCAACCTCCTGTCCTGTCTAGCTGAGACAGTTCACCTAAAGTCTGTACAGTCTCGTGCATGAATCTAAAGACTTTTTCAGAGTTGTGGCTCTTCTTGTATGTATAGTTTCTAATCTTAGCTGCAGGACAGACCAAAGCCATTGCCAGAGCTGTGTTAAAGACTGAGCAGGAGAAGCTGGGAACACTCTGGCAGAGAAACTGATTGTGGCTAAATCGAACACTTTTCTTTTGCTGGCAAACGTCAGAATGAGGAGCTGAAGTTTGGGACGAAGAAGCTGCAGACTCTGCTGGTACGAGTGACCTCGTGAAGGAATGCCTTACAGAAACTTTGTATGAATGTGGTATTGGGGTTGTTTTGTTTCACTGATGGTCCTTTTTATGTCATTTTATTTGAACGAATATGCTGCGTGAACTCTAATAAAGCGTAGTCGACAGTGTTAATTGGTAAGAGACGGACACGTTGCATTTTAATGTAAAAGCGTGATTTCCTTTCCACCATGTTAACCATTAACTAATGACAAAATACAGTTAATTGATCTAAATTAGTATTTTCACTTAAACTTGGATGTTGGTGTTAACAAATGCAGCTGCAGTGAAGGTACTGGAGTATTTCAGTTAACCATTAACCTGTAAAACAAAACAAAAAGTTTCTACCTCAGTGAGCCTAAACTGGATATGATGATCGCCATGGTCATGTCACAGAATGATAGCACTGCTGTGTTTATAGTTAAACATGAGCCAGTGTCTGCGAAGTTGAGTGTCAGCCAACCTTGACTGATCAAACACTGCTCTGATGTCAGTTTATGACCACATACCTTTTTATCAGTGCTCAGTGTTTTCCCCACTGAAAAGTATTCAGAAGTGCAAATTACGACCTTGCTGGGGTCGTGTGGCCGGGCTCAACTTGAGATGCTTGGAGGGAGGGAAGTGCATTGCTGTGATTTATGCTGAATGAAAACAATTGAATGATTGTCTGCTTTTCCTTTAACCAGCAGCAGTTTTCTCTCTCTTGTCTCGTGGTGCTGTTTGAAGAATCTGTCCACTAATTACATTTCCACATAAACTATGATTGCTTTGTCCTGTGTTTGCATAGGGCTGCAATTAATGCATCAAATGACTTGACAATGACCTTTTTTTTTTT